GAAACTTATTACTCCAACAAGTTGTCATTCCGTACAACAGCTAGAACACATAATTTCAACTTTCTGAAAAATTTCAGGAAAAAAAAACAATATATGTATTTTTGAAGTTCATTTGTAAATCAAGGTAACTACATGTATTTACATTTTTAGGTTTGCGGAGAATACAAATGGAAATTTGTTCATGTATTTTATCAATTATATTCATTGATTGCAAATTGCATGTTTTTTTCTTCTTTCAAATATTCTACGTCATGAGCAATACAGCTCATGAATCGTGGTCTTGTGTATCCATCACCAAACTATGGATCACATGGTTCGCGGTTCGAGTCCCGCCGCGGCTCTATTGTCCTATTTATCGAAATTTCTACTCTCCACCCAGATGTAGTAAAAGGGGTAATTGGTATAGGAATTTATTCCTTCTGTTCTGATTGCATGGGATGAAATAATGACAAAACAGGGACAGATTTACGATTAGTACTCCACCACCACCAAGTTGGTTGAGGTGTCCAAGTATCTGCAGTAGTTGGTTCTAAAACGAAATCAAATACGTTAGGGATTTTCAGATATGCTTCTTTAAAGGTAAAGACCAGTAGTGGAAACGCCCCGGGCCAATTTCAAAAAATGAAATGGAAGCTCTTATGACCAATCATGTGAAAGAATATGTTTTGACTAATACATGATGATAACAATTTTGCCGGGAAACCGCCTATTAATTGATATATTTGGTAAATTAGTTTATCTATTGGTGTGAGAGAGATAAACGAATGTGTCGCGCACGTGTGCGTAGTCCCATATACATCTTTTTGTGTACAGTGCTTGTAACTTTACCAAGACTGGGCCAAACTTCTTATCATTTTGATGATTCCAGAACCTTGCAGTATACACCAATACTTATATGCTAGATGATCAACCTTTTCTGATCGATTCCACAACGTTTCTTTCACAATGCAATCGCATGACCATAACTGGTCTTTATCTTTAATTAATTTATTTATTTGTTAAATATTTTTATAACCGGAAATTGATGATCCAAAACAATTTAATAGGATGGCTATTAAAGATGGGCGGTCAAATGGATAATTATCCTTGATTAGGTACGTATTGATGCCTGTAATAACAGTGGATTCAATGAATGCATATCAGATAAGAGGAATCTAATCTTATCTGTATTCACTGAATTCCATAGAACAATATGGAACCTAAAATATGGCACACAACTTATTGTATCTTTCGATTTTCACTTATTCCTAACTGTGGCAATAACGGTTAAAGGTATTAGTTCGTTCGTGTCCATACAAACACTGGATTAATACTGAAGTAATATATCCTTAATGAATTAAAAGTCAGTAAAATTCTGTTTGTTATTAATAAGTACAATTTTGATAGAAGTTGTTTAGAATTGGTCCCATTCGCATCGCTATATTCTATGTTTTTCTTATTATTGTAATATATATAAATACATTTCTGAGATATTAACCATTAGTCAAAATGTAATTGAAAAATATATAGGGATTTTGGATTAATTCGCAATTAAGAAATATAAGGAGAACCCTAAAGCATAAAAAGAAACCCTGGAGTCTACACTAATTAAATGAGAGAGAAGGGAAAGGAGTCATTTTGCTGGCATCTGACACCAACATCGTCATAATGACCGCAGTGGTTGTTGCCAACTCCGTTATGTCTGCAATCAAATATACTATCTTCATTGCCACTGCATGACACATGGTTCAGAAGTATAGGCCCTGTACCCTGCCCGAAGTAGGCCTTATAGAAATAGTATATTACGTCTGGGTATCCAAGACTTCGGCAGACGACGCGAGAATTCGCGGTGTTCCACAAGTGATCGCAAACAGTTCCCCATATGCCATCGTAGTAGACTTCAACTCGACCTTGGCTGGGCATACCTCCGTTAACGAGGCGGACTAGGATGTTAGAAGCATATGAAAATGTACAAATCGTGAGTTTTTACTTGGAATGATGTTCCTGAAAGAAGGGGAAGAGATCTTCTGTATATTAGACATTCGAATATTTATCAACTCTACTTCGTCTTTACCGATTAATGGACACTTTGATTACTAATGTTAACTTCATTTGCTCTTTGAAACAGTCGAAATCGAAGTAGAGTGAAAGGTCAAGGAGAATTGATGTATGAAATGTTCAGCGATTCATTGTATCCCCGGCAGTATGCTGGTGGGGTACTTTGGATTGAGCAGCGTTACGCCGCGTCCGCCGCGTCATATTCTTGTGTGCGCTCCAACTGCCACATTTCTTAAAGGATTTTGTGCAAATTTGGAACGAAGGTGTATCTTGGTATAATCTACAAGCTTATAGATTAAGGTGATGCTGTCTCTAGTGTTCTGTCTTTTATAGGGTCAAAGGTCATATTTTGATAGATATCTTGTACATGTGCACTCTAATGTGTGCGGTCTAACTGCATCATTTCTTGACAGATTTCTTTCAAATTGAGTATGGAAGTGTATGTTGGTAAAATATATGCACCTATAGTTTTTTGTAATGATACTGCCACCAGTGTCCCGTATTCTATAGGGTCAAAAGGTCATATTTCATGACGGCTTTCTTTCAAATTTTGGATAGAGATGTGTGGTGGACGATTTGGCGAACTAACTAGTTGCCCAAGACCCATAGTAATGACACCATGCACTGTAATTTGGTTATACACTGTAGCAGGCAAGGTTCAATCTGCGATTTAATAAAAGGATAAACAATAATAAGTCAACTTGCATAAACTGACATGAAAATAACATATCATGTATCAAATCCTAATAACTATCTGTTATCATAACAAAGGAAAACAAACAGTGCCTTCTTCATTATATATCTAACATAGGTAAATACATGCAACAATTAATGACGCACCGACGGTGACTTTGTCATTCTTCAAGGTCATATCATTATACTACTACGTACATGTACATTTAGACGCACTACCGTGCACGACAATTACGTAACTTACATACACGTGTACAATCTTTCACTTGAACGACTCATTCATGTCATATTTCATCATCTCAAATTAGTGTCATAAACATCATATTTCATTAAGCAATCTAGCTGTAAAGACAATATAACTCATAAACTTCAAGATAACATATTCATTTCTACTTACATCATTGGGCTTGTATCACAAAATTAAACGAAAACTTAGGCAACTCTGGGAGGCAACTATCCCATGACGTGGAAAATCAGTAACACACAAAATCCAGTACGCCCTCAAGCGACCTAATCCATACACTTTCTACAAAGCGACGCCTGTGACATCACAAGAATCGGCTTAAAGCAAAACGTCATCCTGTACTCCACATTCCGGCCCTCTTAAATGAGAAGCCTTTCTGAACATTTAACAATACTTTGTTCATTTGAAACATTTCAAAATTAAGTCTATCCACAATTGCTACTCGCAATAAATCATTGTTCCTTTAAATTCTTCAACTTCTTATAAAATAATAATAATAATAGTGGGTTCTTGTATACTGTTCAAGTGACCTTTTTTTTCTTCACACCTTTAAATAACTAATCACCCTTAACCTATTCAATGATCTTGACCATTAATATCAACATAAAATATCTGAAGAGTTTCTTTTCAGCAAACTACTAAGTAATTTCCAAAGCTTTGACATTTGCATAAAATGCACGAAGTGTATATCAAATGCACTTACATAAAACAAATATCCTTCTCAACATCACCATGACAACCCTATCAGAACTCCCAACATTCCTTGTCAGAATTTAGAATCATTTTGGTAAACATCGACGACTCCAAAGATAACTGTAAGCAACCACGCTGCTTCCTCACTATAATTCCCGACACCAGGAATGACACTAGAAATGTTTTAATCCAAAACTAAATCCTCCTACTGACTCAGACGATGGGAGATCTGAGAGTGATGTGTCAAGTTAAACATACAACCAACAACTAGACTGTACCGTAAACACATTTTATGTTTGTAAGTAACTTTCTACTCGAGCTTCACATGAAGAGCTGAACTCTTGACCTTTCCTATTTTAATACCCTTTGTATTTGGAACACTGTACTAAAAGGCAAACTACATGTATACTACATGTGCCTTGACATGAGGAATGATAAATTTCCCATTATGCTTAATTCCTGATAATCAGTCATACTTTCAAATAAAATTTGCATATATTGCATTAATCAACATGACAACTAGTAGAACCTTTCTACACACAACTCACATTTTCTGTGTCAGAATATGGAACATTCTTTTACCACTTTACCACTATACTAACAAGAAAATGATATGCAAACCAATTCTGAAATAAATTTCATCTTAAATCAGAATGTTAAATGAAGCAATACATTTACATAAGTAAATATACAGTAATCTGATAATCACTGAAGCTACATATAAATTACCATTAAACAACATACACAACTGCACATTTACTGCAACTTAAATGCTGCCAAATGCCATGTTAACATTTTACACTGGAAAATAACAAATCGTGTCAAAATTTGAAAATTACTCCATAACTTCAAGTGTAATACACTAATGTTCATTAGTTCATGAGTCTTTGAATAGCAAACAGTCATTTTTCTATAAATGTATCAGTTTATGTCTTCTTCTTGTAAGCCGTTCAGTTTCTCAATTCTCAGTTACATGAATCAGTCACTGTTGAGTTGCTATGGTGACTAAATCTGCACTGTAGATCACTAGCCGATTCATATCTCAACAAAAAATTATATCCTCGCGTTGAATACGAATTGTCACATTTTGACACTTTCACGTAAAATAAATGTTGGCGATATCATGACATCACATTTCATGATAATAACATTTCTGCTCTAATTGGATCCTTCTGATTTCCAATCAAAATCACGATCTTCATATGATCATATCTCTGCGACGACATCCTCTGAGACACAAATTCTCCTTGATCATGAAATTTATATATCTCAAAAATTTCTCTTTCTTATATGATTAAACATCACGTGATCCATGAATTCCAAATGAGGGCAATTAACAATCTCCTTCCAAAATCAGGCACAATTTCGAGATAGGACGAACAATTACGCTATTCTTTGTCTTGATGTTCGCACTACGGGTGAAGCCTTTCTTGTCTGGGAAAGTTTGAAGCACTCTTCCCAGCAGCCACGAATTCCGCTGAGTGTTTGCATCGGCAACCAGCACCAAGTCACCAATCTGAAGATTGCGATGCGATGGTACCCATCTTTCTCTTCTTTGCAACTGCGGTAAGTACTCTCTAGACCAGCGCCTCCAGAATACGTCGGCGAGATACTGTATTTGACGCCACCTCCTTCTCGAGTATACATCTGATCTGTCCGTCACTGTTGGTGGCAGTTGCGGCTTCCTGTTCAGCAGAAGTAGGTGATTGGGAGTCAAGGCCTCAAGATCATTGACATCATCTGATACACTTGTTAGAGGCCTGTTGTTGACGATGCTCTCAATTTCGCAGAAGAGAGTTGTCAGACTTTCACCTGAGAGCACCTGTTGCTTAGTTACTGCCAGTATGAGCTTTCTCACAGTCCCAATCTGCCTTTCCCAGACTCCTCCAAAATGGGAAGCAGTGGGTGGGTTGAAAGTCCATTTGATGCCTTTCTGGAGCAGGTCTGCGCTGATTTGAGCTTTGTTCCATCCATCTATTTCTCTTTTCAGCTCTCTCTCAGCGCCCACAAGATTAGTGCCATTATCTGAGAGCATCTCCTTGATATTGCCCCTGCGAGCGATGAAACGACGAATGGCACTGATACAAGAGTCCGTATCCAAAGAATGAGCGACTTCCAAATGAATGGCGCGTGTGGTAAGACATGTAAACATGACTCCATATCTCTTCTCCATGCTGCGACCCCTTTTAACCTCAAAGGGGCCGAAATAGTCAATGCCAACCTTGGAAAATGGAGGCTCGTCAGGTAACAGTCTATTCTCAGGCAGGTCAGCCATCTTCTGACTCATCTTCTTCCCTCTTTGCCGCCTGCACATGACACATCTGCTAATCATGCTCCTGATAGCTGCTCCTGCTCCAAGCATCCAATACTTCTCACGAAGCACAGAAAGGACATAATTTCTTCCACTATGCCCTGCCTTAACATGAACATCTCTCAAGATCAGATCTGACACGTGACTTCCCTTGGGTAAGAGGACTGGGTGTTTAGCTTCTAATGGTAGAGCTGATCTCTCCAATCTTCCTCCAACTCTAAGAAGACCCTCGTCTATCTTAGGGTCCAGCTTGTAGAGTTGACTTGTCTTTGTCACTTTACCATCTGAATCGGTCAATGATTCAATCTCCTTCTGGAAGAAACATTTTTGCACGTAATGCAAAATTCTCTTCTCTGCTTTCTGCATGTCGTCGTAACTGATCCTTTTGAAGTCCCTCAGCTCTTGCTCTGTCTGGGTTTTTCCTTTGAGTTTCAACCACTGCATGAACTTCAATAGCCAGCTCACTCCCCTCCTCAGCTTATACCAGGAGGAATATGTGTTGATAAGCCTTTCCAATGACTTCTCCTCTGACTGAGTTGTGAATGCACTGGCATTTTCTGTAGGTGGTTTGATTTCTGGATCACTTGGTGGCACTTGCAGATCAGCTGGAGCGATAGGCCATTCCATCTCATCAGCACATAGGAAGGATGGTCCCTTGAGCCATCTGCCATTGAGCTTGTCTGGCGTTAGACCTCTTGATACATCATCAGCTGGATTCTTTTCTGTGTTGACATATCTCCACTGCCTGGGCTCCGAGGCATCACGGATGGTAGATATCCTGTTAGCCACAAATGTCCGAAAGCGCTTGTTGTCACTGCGGATGTAATGGAGGACTATTGTGCTATCTGTCCAAAAGACAGACTCATTCAAGGGAAAGTCCAGCTCCTTTCTGATCTTTCTATCCATTGTGACTGCAAGTGCTGCCGCCATGAGCTCTAAGCGAGGTATTGTCATCTTCTTCAGAGGTGCTAATTTTGCTTTAGCCAGAATTATGTTGCAATGGACTTGTCCTCCTTCACTGGTCATGCGCAGGTAAGACACTACACCCTACGCCGACTCAGATGCATCACAGAAATGATGCAGTTGGTACTCGTTCACATCATCAAAGGGTCTGAAACACCTGCTCACTCTGAAGTTGCTCATTAAGGGAAGCCATTCTTTCCATTTTAGCCATCTGGAATGGTGTTCATCTGGAACTGGGTCATCAAATCCAAGCTTCAGAGCAGTTAGATCCTGGAGGATTCTCTTGGCAACCAAGACGAATGGACTGGCATATCCATAGGGGTCATATATTGATGCTATCTCACTCAGAATTCCCCTCCTCGTTACTGGTTTGCCCTTGGGGGTGATCTTATAGGTGATGCAGTCCAGTTCTACATCCCATGTTACTCCAAGTGCCCTTTCTGCTGGTAAGGCATCCCGATTCAAATCAAGTCCAACAATGTTTTTAGCTCGATCTTCCAAAGGTACAGACTTGATCACAGCTGGGCTGTTGCTTATCCACTTGGTCACTTCGAATCCACCCCTCTTGAGCAGCGTCATGAGTTCAGCTACAAGCTTGATTGCATCATCTTCTGTTTTGCATGAGACGAGACAGTCATCTACATAGAAGTTACGACCGACAGCATCCACTGCTTCTGGAGAATATTCGGTCTTGAATTCTTCAGCTGTATGTCTAAGAGCAAAACTACAAACACTTGGGCTCCATGTCCCACCGAATAGGTGAACACACATCCTGTAAGCCTTAGGATGTTGGATAAGATCTCCTTCTGGCCACCACAGGAAGCGAAGAAAGTCTCTCTGCTCTGGTGGGACTCTAACTTGGTGAAACATTGCCCTTATGTCTCCCATAATGGCTATAGGTTCTTGGCGAAATCTGAGCAAAACACCAAGAAGGTTGTTCGTCAAGTCTGGACCTTGAAGTACCGCATCGTTCAAAGAAGTTCCATTGTACTTGGAAGCACAATCGAAGACAATTCTTGTCTTTTCTGGTTTATTTAGATTGAATACCGGGTGATGCGGTAAGTACCAGACTCCTTCATCCTTCCCAAGATCCTGGTCCTTAACCTCTTCAGCATACCCTTCATCCAACAAAGACCTCATTCCTTCACTGTACTTAGCATGTAGACAATCATCCTTTACCAGTCTTCTCTTCAGTGACTCTAGTCTGGTTAGTGCAACTTGGATGTTATTCGGCAGATCTTCAGGCCTCTTCCGAAATGGAATGGGAAGTTGATAGTGATCACCATCTCTGCAAACTCCTTCCTGCCAGGTCTTCAAGGCTTTCTGATCATTGATGGACATGCTCCTTTCATTATCATGAAGGTATTCTGTCCCTTCTAGCTTCCAAAATTTGTGAACTTGTTCTTCCAGGAGCATGTTACCATCATCAGAGATGAAGCTAGACGAGGCTTGAAAACTCTGTAAACTACTTCCATTTCCAAGTGGACCATTTAACGTCCATCCAAGTATTGTCTTGACAGCATAAACTTCACCAGGTTTACCTGCTTTGATTTCAAGTGGCATCAGGGCTTCAGGCACATCTTGTCCAATCAGTATGGTTACTTGATTCTTCCCCGTGACTGGAAGATCAATACCACAAAGATGTTGATATTTCGAAATATCTTCCTCCCTGGCCATGTTTGCAGTACTGATGTTCAGGCTGGGACGAGTTAGAAATTCAGCCTCTATCATCTTGTCTGCTGTGGAACCTTTAACCCTCAACTTGACGGCTTCGCATTCCATTGCTCTTTTAGGGCTTTCCAGTGTTGAGACCTGAATGACTTTCTTTTTCCCCTTTGTCTGGAGCACATCTATTAATTCTTGCAGACAGAATGAGTTCGTAGAACCAGGGTCCAGCAAAGCTAAGGTCTCAATGCTTTCTCCACCATCTGCAGCACTGACAGTAACCGGAATTATTGGAAGGGCTACTCTGCAACCTCCGGCCCTCGTGGCATTGGAACTAGCATGAGATGCTACATCATAGTCAGTTTGAGTTGATGAGTCATTCGATTCCCTTCTTGTTCTCCAAGGTGTAGGATTTCCTGAAGATGGTCTCATCCTTCTCCCGGTATGGAGGAACTTGGTATGCCTTTGATCGCACCCCTTGACTGAGCAGGTCCTATTAAGGATGCACTTTGAGGATACATGACCAGGTAACAAGCAATTGAAACAAAGCCTGTTCTTGAAGGCAAAATCAAAGCGTTCATCAGGCTCCATGGCTTTAAATTTCTGGCAACCGAAAAGGTCATGGCTGTCCTGACACATGATGCAGTTCTTGGTCGATGAATTCACAGAGGTAGTAAACATGCTTGCCTGACCTCTACCTGACACAGTTCTTTCCTTTACACTCCTTGTACTTCCTAGATTCTTTGGTCCACCCATAAGTAAGGCTCCAAATACAGGATCATTGAGTTCATCAGCTGCGCCGGTGATGAATTCAACTGCATGCTGGATGTTAGGCTGTCTGCCACTATCCCTGATGGTCTTTACTAAACGCAACCACCGGCTCTTCAGATGGAATGGCAAACGTTCAATGACCTTCACCAGCTCACTTCTGCTGCTCATCTCGTGAAGCATTCCAAGGGCCATCAAAGTTTCAGCACAGGTCTTTAGCTGATCAGCAAAATCCCTCAGATGTTTAGGATTGCTCTGAATAACTGGACCTTCCGTGACCTTCCTAATCCAGGCGTCACTGATCTTATGGTCACTTCCAAAGCGATCCATCAGAAGCGTTCTGGCATGAAAGTACCCATCATCTTGATGCATCATGAGACAACATTGGATTATGTCTTTGGCAGCTCCAGTACAAAGATGATACAACTTGAGCAGCTTGGCGTTATTGTCCAATGACGAATTTCCAATGACACTATCAAATGATCGTATGAACTCAAAGAAATTCAACGGGTTACCATCAAAAGACATAATGTTGGTACTTGAAATTGTGATGGCTTCCAACAGCTGTTGATGTTGTCTCTGTCCTTGCTGTAGATGATGTAAGATGTCAGAGTCCATCTTACCAGTTATCTTTTCATCTTGACTGGTCAGTATCTGGTTTTCACTTGCTGGCTTCATTCTAGCAGGAGTTGATGAACCTTGCTGGGAAGGTTCAGACTTGGAAGGCTCAGTCTTCTGTTCTATGGACAGAGTACCTCTATATACAGTTTCCTCTGCTTCAGCGATCTTTAATCTAGTCTTCAGAAGAAGCTCAGCTTTCCGTTGTTTAAGCTTCATTTCTTCTATCTCAAGTTCTTGTTGGTCTTTAAGAGCTGCTACTTCTGCGGCTAAGGCAGCTCTCTTAGCCTTCGCCCGTATCCTCCAACTCGCCGAGGTGGTGCTACTCCCCCTTTGGCTAGCTGAGTCTTCAGGTCTAATACTGTCCGACTTGTGGTCCTTGAAGGTAACCTCTGGATCTGTGCTGCCATCCATGCCGGTTACGCTCATGATGGAGGATATGACAGTCACACAAGTTGATATTGAACTGTTGTGGTGGACGATTTGGCGAACTAACTAGTTGCCCAAGACCCATAGTAATGACACCATGCACTGTAATTTGGTTATACACTGTAGCAGGCAAGGTTCAATCTGCGATTTAATAAAAGGATAAACAATAATAAGTCAACTTGCATAAACTGACATGAAAATAACATATCATGTATCAAATCCTAATAACTATCTGTTATCATAACAAAGGAAAACAAACAGTGCCTTCTTCATTATATATCTAACATAGGTAAATACATGCAACAATTAATGACGCACCGACGGTGACTTTGTCATTCTTCAAGGTCATATCATTATACTACTACGTACATGTACATTTAGACGCACTACCGTGCACGACAATTACATAACTTACATACACGTGTACAATCTTTCACTTGAACGACTCATTCATGTCATATTTCATCATCTCAAATTAGTGTCATAAACATCATATTTCATTAAGCAATCTAGCTGTAAAGACAATATAACTCATAAACTTCAAGATAACATATTCATTTCTACTTACATCATTGGGCTTGTATCACAAAATTAAACGAAAACTTAGGCAACTCTGGGAGGCAACTATCCCATGACGTGGAAAATCAGTAACACACAAAATCCAGTACGCCCTCAAGCGACCTAATCCATACACTTTCTACAAAGCGACGCCTGTGACATCACAAGAATCGGCTTAAAGCAAAACGTCATCCTGTACTCCACAAGATGTATCTTGGTACAATCTACACATCTCTCCTTGTTGGTGATGCTGCCCTCATTGTTCCATCCTTTATAAGGTCAAATGTCATTTGTTCCTTTTGTGCTCTGTTACTGCCACATTTCTTGAAGGGGTTTATTTCAAATTTTTTATGGAGGTGTGTCTTAGTACAATCTACACATCTTTAGTGTTTAGTGATGCTGCCACCTGTGTTCCGTCTACTATAGGGAAAAAGATCATGTTTTGGTGGGTGTCTAGTGTGCGCTCTGCAGGTCATATTTCATGACGGATTTCTTTCAAATGTTGTGTAGAGATGTATCTTGGTACAATCTACACATCTTTCCTTTTTGGTGATGCTGCCCTCATTGTTCCATCCTTTTTAGGGTCAAAGGTCAATTGTCCCTTTTGTGCACTGTTACTCCCACATTTCTTGAAGGATTTCTTTCAATTGAAGATTTTCCTCATTTGACTTTATTATTGTTACTATTATTAGTAGAAGAAGTATTATAATGAGCATTCTCATTATTATTGAGCCCCCGTTGTGTCTTGGAGAGGAACATTTTGCTTCACTGTAACCTTCGGGTCGTTCCCCCGGGATGTGCAGCTGGACCCTTACATCAGGGTCCCACTTCTTTTATACGAATAATAAGTTTTTATCATGCAAAAGTGGTGACTATACACGGGGCCTCCATTTAGCATCCTGTCCGAGGGACGGAGTGCTTTTTACTGTATCCTAGCAACGCCTCTCCTTTCATGAAGGATTATGAAAGATTAATTTTGCTCACCTGTTTCATTTGGTTGTCTGGGTGTATCAGTCGTGCCTGTCAAAGGTATAAAACGAAGGTAATTATAAGCAACAAGAACAATAATAAGAACTAGACTTTAATTCGTCACTTTGACGAATTAGGTGATACGTATGATATTGGTTTACATTAAACGAAGAATGCATTACACGATATCATATTATTTTATAAAATGCTCCTCCCATTATGATCTATCCATATGTCAAGTTTAAATTGCGTCCCCTTGATCAGGGATCTAGGGAAGATAGATTGAAACAATATATGACCTTTGACCCTGTGCAGTAACCAGTTACACCTTTGACTCTAATTTACATCATGAAGAACACATTTTGACGATTTTATCTTATTCAAAGAAATGAAAATGTAATTGATAAATGATTATCATCATTATGATAATGATGATCATGATGATAATGATCATGATCATGATCATGAGCGCGATCCTGACATCTTATTAAAAAAATGAGGGTTGATTTAGATAGCATATAGTCTTAGCGACAACATACTCAAAAATCAACAAAATCCAAGCAGAAATAACAGCGATATTGCTCGTAAAAGACAGCAATGTAGAATCCAGATTTGAGAAAAAGTCATCTCCCATAGGGACTACACGCAAAAAGTAATGGATCAAGTGAAAATAGGGTAATAATAAAGTAAAAAGGGTTGTTTATTACATTATTTGCGAATCTACGTGTTTTAATAATCAAAGGAGATTTTGAGCAATTTAAAATTTTACGCGCGCGTTAACGCGCGCACAAACGTGTACGCGCATTTTTGCGCGCATTTATTGATCGGAAATTGACTGGACAAATATTGACCTTGATCGTGATAAGTATGAATGAGAAATGGCTTTCTGTTATGAAGATATGGTCATGAGTTGATTTTCACAAAATGGCGCCTAGATGACGTCATGATGACCTTGAGTCACTGAAAAGTCACGCAGTTCTAAGTTAGATTAAGATCTATCATTATTGAAAGTTTTATGACAATGGCTTTTGCCATTCTTGAGATATCCTGCGAACAAAATTGAGGAAGAATAATAATAATTTCTTCTATACAGACACAAAATAAATACTAGACTTTAATTCGTCACTTTGACGAATTAGGTAATACGTATGCTATTTTTTTTATCATGAAAGTGTGCCGATGATGATCTTAGAAGTCAAGTGCGTTACCGATATACCAAAACATTTCCCATAGCGATTACACGTAAACGGGAAATGGAATTCTCAAATCCTACTTTGCAAGTGAAATATGAGCATAATCCCGGCATCTGATCGAAAAATGAAAGGCACACGTGTGATAGATTATTGTCTCAGCTACATCATATCCGAAGCTCAGCAAAAACTAAGCTAAGACAACGGAGATTTTGCTCGTGAAAGACAGGAAGGTAGAATCCAGTTTTGAGAAAAAGTCATGTCCCATAGAGAATACACGCAAAATGTGAAAAATTGACATGCCTCCTTTAATCGCAAAAATACGCCATGATGCCTTTGTCAAAATGAAAAATTATGGACACTATATTTGTAGAAAATTGTTTCAGCTAGAACATATCGAAATTTGAAAGAAAATTAATAAATATTTAAAGAGATCAATTTTTCAAAAATATGCAAACGTCATAATATGCAAATTTAAATTTTGAGTTCGGAGGCCATTATGATGACATCATGAGTTAATTGATGGTAAAATGAGACATGAAATCATATCTCCATTTCAAAATCTATCCACATATGAAAAAATATTGGGAGTTCCTATCTATTCTGAAGAGTTACAATGAATTTTGTATAGGCATGTTTTTGCCCATGTATTGTGGATAAAGATAACGCAGATCCGCGCGCGCTGTCAACTTTGGCGGACGCTCATTGCGTTATTAAAAGATGAACAAGTTATCAAACTGCTTGGAAAAATGTGCCAAATATGATGATAAAGAAAATTCGGCGATTCTATGTTGCAAAATGTTAGTACGCGCAAAAAACGCGCGCGCATGAGCGTGAGCGCGATTTTTTGTCAAATGCTCCATATGGCCTGAAACGTATGCAAAAAAAAATGGGATGATTTTGAGAATTATAAATTTTTGCGCGCGCGTAAACGCGCGGACGAACGCGCACGCGCGCATTTGCGCACGTTTATTGACCTGAAATTGAACGGACGGATATTGATCTTATTCATGATAAATATGAATGAAAAATTACTTTCCGTTATGAAGATATGATCATAAGTTAATTTTCACAAAATGGCGCCTGGATGACGTCACGATAATTTTGAGTTTTTGAAAAGTCACGCAGTTCTAAGTTAGACTAAGATCTATCATCATTGAAAGATTCATGACAATAGCTTTATTCAGTCTTGAGATATCCTGCAAACAAATTCGAGGAAGAATAATAAATAATAACTAGACTTTAATTCGTCACTTTGACGAATTAGGTGATACGAAGCTATTTTTGTATCATGAAAGTGTCCCGATGACGATCTGATAATATTCATGAATATGATAATGACGATATTGATGCTGATGAAAAGAAGATGATGAGGAGAAGGGAAACAGCGCAAAAGAGAGGAGAGAGAGAGAGAGAGAGAGATGCAATCGAGAACAATGCCTTCCATATTTCTAGCATAAATAAGCTCTTGTGAATACTGATCATGAAAGTGTTGCCGATAATCAAAAAAACATTATGTTCATAAATACGATGATGACGATATTAGAATGATGACCATGATTGAAAGTGGCACAGCGCCCCCTTTAGGTTTTCGATAGAGGATTAAACTGTTTACTTATACTAAACAAGATCAAAACATTTTTTTAATAAATATTACAAAATGTACATAGTGATTAATTTAGTCCTGATTTAATATAAAATATGAGTAAGATATTCAAATTGTACCCATCCATAATCCAACAGTTTTTTTAAAATAAATATTACAAAATGTACATAGTGTTTAATTTAGTCCTGATTTAATATAAAATATGAGTAAGATATTAATATTGTACCCATCCATAACCCAACAGCTATGATGTTAAATCTAGAAACGATTGTCAGTATGCATTGCAGTGAATGGCCAAACGATAGAAATTGCCTCAAATTTCCTTGGATTAAATTATACATTATAAATGAGACAAGCTGAGATGATGCAGAGAAATAGGGGAGAGAGTAGAGAAAGAGAGAGACAGAGACAGAAGGAGACAGATCAAGAGATGAAGAGGAAGAGGGAGAGGGTGAAAGTGTAAGACAGAGGGAGAGAACAAGAGAGATAAAGATGAGAGAGACCAAGAGAAGGAGAGGGGCAGAACAAGACCAGGTAAAGGGAGACAGAGCAAGAGAGAAAAGAGAGAGAGAGGGGAGAGATGCAATTGAGAAAGATGCCTTCAATATTTTTAGCATAAATAGCTAGGCTCTTGAATTACTATCATGAAAGTATGCAGAAACTGCCGATGATGATATAATGATAATGTTCATGAATACGATAATGACGATATTGATGATGTTGATGACCATGATTAAAAGTGGTATAGCGCCCCCTTCAGGTATTCAATTGAGGATTGTTGTATATGATAACTGTTGATAACTATTACCAGGGAGAGTGCCGGCCTGCTATTACTAACAAAAAATTCGCCTGATTGCAGAGAAATACGTATACCAATCATTGAAGTGATATTTCGACGCGCTAAATACGCAACAATGACGTCATTAGAGCTGATTATGACTAATAATAGTCCGGCAGCCATCTCGATATACCTTGTTTTAGGGTCTATAGTTTTTTTTCCTCCGGATTATAGTTCCTTAGACCATCAATTTGAAGAATTCGATTGCTGACACTCTGTCAGCATTGAGCAATTTGAGATATGTGACGTCATACAAAATGGCCGCCAAAATCCCCTTTTTAACCAAAATTAATGATATAAAAAGTTTTAACAGCATTTTACTACATTAAATGGCAGTCAAATATCTTGATTTTTTTCTAGAATCATCACTAAATAAAAATTACAATGCTGTATGATCACAATTGATATGCAAATTTGCATAATTAGGAATGGCGCCCTCTATAGACACATTTACTTGCATAGGTCAAAATGATGGCCAAATACCAATTTCTAACATGAGATTATATGTCATGAGTCAGATGCACTGAATACAGTGAGTAAAGATTGTGCTGCACATTTATTTTTATTTTGTAATTTGATACTCGAACAAAACACGGTTGAATTT